GGGAAAGGGTCACATGAATTTTAAAAAAAAAAAAAAAATAACGAGGATTCAAGGATAAATCATTTATAATAAACACTGCAATATTCCATAAAAATGTCAATACTGATTTCATGGTTACTTTTGAGAGTTAACAGAACAGAGCTAATGATTTGTGCAAGTGGTTAGTACACAGAGAGATGTTCGTACTTGTCATTCCTGGTGTCAGGGACGTCTCTGTGGTAGCCAAGCCGGTTACTGATGAGAACGTTGAAGGCGTGCTTATGATAGCCCATATCTCGTACCTCTTGGTCCTGCTTGTTAAAAATCATTCCTGAAATCCGAAATCAGAACACTCGTAAAACACTGACTTATTACTCTGTGGCTGCTTGTTAAAAGAAAGCTGCTTTTTCCGAGGATTTAGTGGAGCCCACAGTGTAGGACAGATGGTCTAGTAAAAAGTATTTTAGACCGGTGGATTGATTCAGCTTCACAACATAATATAGGTAGTAAGTGTGTTGTCATGGCAACAAAAGCTGTTCCAAAACCTGCCTCGCTGCCTGCAAATCTGCAATCTGTCAAAACACAATTTATTCTAAAAAGCACATGGTGAGACGTCAGCTTGACACGTCAAATGTTACTGTAAATGAGCAGCACTGGCTCTTTTTCTCACTCGCTGACAGTAATGCTGGAAGATTTAGACCAGGGCTTCATAACTGATGGGTCGCAACCAAAAAAAAATAAGAAATGTATCAAAATGCAGATAATAAAAATCAACTAACCATCATTTAAGATGAGAAACACTTCCCACATCATCTGCTGTTGATGTCAAAGGCTAGGCTAAGCGGCCAATCACACTCGACAATATTTTGGTGCAAATTCATATTGTGGTAAAAGCTAACCAAAATTAGACAGATGCCAACATGGACAGGATGCAGGGCATACACTTAATCTTAAAAACCAGCAACAGCAATAAAATATTATTCATATTTCATTAAATACACGTTCGTTTGCAGGCTTGTATGACACCCTGGGGCAATCACCGCTTCAGGAACCCATCCCCAAAATTTGTCTTTTTTTTTTTTTTTTTTTCCTGATTTGATGTTTGTTTTATTTTTTATAATGCTGTAAGCATGTTTTTTAAAGTTTGCTCTGCAGATGAAAAAGGTGAAACTGCATTCTGTATAGATTCAGAATAAAAATAAAATGATGTACTCTTATTTAAAAAAAAAAATAATAATACTGTTCAAGTGTAATGTAGATAAACATTACACCAATCACATTTCTGTGGTTATTTTTTGGCTGTTAAAAGCATAAAACCATCATCAACAACAATACTACTGCGTTGAGTTGCTACTTGAAATCCAATATAAAATCTGGATCAGATCAGCAGACCTCTACTCCTCACTATATGTCTATAACAAGCACAAATTTCAAATGAAAACATATGCATTGATAGTTGGAATGTCCACTAACCCAGCTCTGGAGAAAGGTCCGGCTTGAGAGCCTCCACTGCATGTCCTTGACTGCCATCTCTGCGAAGGATCGCTGGGCCATGGGTGAAACGAGGCTGAAAGTGATGCTGCCCCTGGACGGGCACATTTTTGAAGGACAAACGGCTTTCCTGGCTGAGGTGGAAATACAGGAAGAGTAGAATCGACCAGGTCACGGAGGTGAAGAGGCAACCATAGCAAAAGTAGCGCAGAGTGACGCTGCCCATGGTAACGCTAGCATCCTTGGCTGGCCATTATCAGGCCCCTGAAAGACAACAATGACAGTTAAGAAATGAAGTAAGAGTTAAACACGAAGTGAAACCGTTTGTGGATATCAGATGGTTTGGATAGATATGGTGGTAAATTGCACTGTACATTGTGGTAGTTATATTTGTGCAGCTATTAACTGGCAAGACTGACTTATGTTATTTACACTATATTCAAATGTTTGGGTTCAATAAGATTTTTCAATGTTTGATGGTAATATAAAATTTGTAAAATGGTAATAATGTGAAAAAGGTTTTAACATGATCCTTCAGATGCCATTATAATATGCTGATTTGGTGATACCATGATACCTTTTTTCAGTATTCATTAATGAGTAGACAGTTCATAGGAACAGAAAATCAAAATCTTTTTTTTTTTTTTTTTACTTTTGATCAATTTAAAACATACTGGTTAAATAAAAGTATTAATTTCTTTAAAATAAAAATAAAAATAAAATTACTGACCCCAAAATTCTGAACAGTAGTGTACATGTACATGAAGTAATACGAAAATACAAGCCAGATATTTTCTAAACACATCAAGCCTGGTGTGTGTATTTTGCGAAGACTTCCAACATAAGACTCTGTCTAATCCAGAGCAAGAACTACTTGTTTTAAAAGTCAGTTTAAAGGTTTTGAGTCTGTGTAATAATTACAGTGTTGTATGATGTGAAGCTGTTTTTGCACTAATGGGAGATTCATCATTCATTTATGAATAATCAGACTCTTTGGGTTTCAACCATCAAGTTTCAAGTAAAACGAGAGAATCAAAGGACATGAAGAACCTTTCTTCTGTAAAACATCCAGTATTATTATGCACACAGTTATTCTCTTTATAAATCATCCAGTGACATTTTTAGATATCCCAATAGCAAGAGGCACAAATCAGACTCCCTGATTACATACATAAACATGGATGTAACACCTTAGTAACTAAACAGGGGGAAAAAAGGTTGGTTGAGACAATGCTGCATTTATTTATTTATTTTTTGGTAAAGAAAATTGTTATATGGGATATGTAGGCCTATGAGAAACAGAGTACTGACCTCAGCATTTCAAAAGCATTAGTCAATCATTAACATGCACTTTGCACAACATTTTAAACCGACAATAAATCCGAGTCAAAATAAATCAATTTCTAGTTTAGTCTCATTGTATTGCATCACATGAATGGCAAAGACACGTGTCATTCTTCAAACCGATGCAGACATCCAGCGGCCTCAGTAACATAAGAACCCATCCGAAAACTGTAACCAGTGAATGCAATTATATGGAATTACAGCACAGCTCTTGTGAATGGTTAATTTATGTTTGGGTCCTGAAAGCCAACACACCAGATTAAATAATAAATAATCTTGCTGTGTCACACACCTGACATCCCAAAAATGCAAGGATTGCAGTATTTGTAATCATTTTCTTCAGCTAGTCTAATTTAACTAATGCCAGACCTGTTGGCTGGGCCAATTTATCAGCTGATGGCCATTTATAGATTATCATCATCTGATAAAAATGCACACTTAAGTGAATGTTAGATGATTTAGGATAGAACCAGAAGTTATCACAAGAGTTGTAGTCCACAATCTGGCAAAATGTATAGTTTACATTTTAGTGCGCACTGTGAATTTTAAGTAAATATTGTGTATAATTTGTTTTCCAACCATATGCACGGTTTAATAATCTTTCCAAAACAGGACTGAGTCAGGTCTAAAAACTAATCAGCTCGGAAGTGATTAAGTTCAAGTCAAGTGACGTTTTTAGGGCATTTCGATGGTGTATGTACTGAAGGCATGCGTTAGCTTTGAACTATCCACAGCTGTTCTGTTCTTATACGAACAAGTTATGGCAGAAAGAAATCAAACAATTCACCCATACGATTTTCTTTAAACTACAGACACGCAAAAGCGAATAGTAAGCTTTGTCTCAAACTAGTGCGCTGCCTACAGTATACAGACAACCATCATAGACCGTCTCAACAAACTAGACAGCATTATTTCTGGATACGATATCATCAGATGACCTTTATCACTCAACATACGTCAAAGAATCATGGATTGTGTCCCAAAATACTGCCGAGTCGCAGCGCACCACAATCCCTGCTGATTCGTAAAGATCCTCAGACGCCCAAACATGATGTCTATGTAGGCGGCTCACTAGGACGCAGGCACTATGAGCTACGAGCTAACTCGTTAGCTGCACAGTATAAACAATAATTGCTGTACTGTAACTCGGCACTGATCTAAACCTCTCTAAAACGTTTAATCTCTGGTAATAATGTCAGTGTGGTACAGTGACTCACTCGCTGATGAAGAGGTCTTTCACGGCTCCATTGCTCTCCTGCGCTCTCTGTGCTGCTGTCCGTTACTCGCTGGTGATGAGTCGCAGTGCGGCTGCGCCTGACTGACTCTGTTGCCGCCTGCTGGCCGAGCTTCAAAATGGCACCACCTGCACGACGTTGACTGCTGTTTTTTTTTTGTTTTTTTTTATTGCAGAGAACGGGAACATACAGAAGAATAAGCATACATCACATAATATCAACCACAAAAATAAAAATGGAAACAAAGCACAAAAAAATAATAAAATAAAAATAAAGATAAGAGGGCCATCATCTAAACATGATCACATGAAGAGATCAAAGGCAGAGCAAATCCTAACTTTTTTTTTTTTTATCTCTTTTTTTTATTTTTTATTATAATATATGAAATACAGAATGACATTAGTATACTACATGCCAGGGAGCAAGAAAATAATGTACCTTTTAAAAAGATTCACAGTTTTTACAGCTTTCTTATTGGAAGAGTCAGAAATCAAATACATATACAGTTTTAACTCTTCCAGAAAAAGGTTAAAGAAAGGCTTACACTTACAATATTTACATTTGTGCACAAAATATTTGGCGAGAAACAAAATAAGATTGAGTAAATAAAAAGCATCTGACTGTTCTCTTTCAAAATGTGTATAACCCAGAATAACATTTTCATATTTCAATGAAATTTCAGGAATTATACCACAAAAAAATACTCAAAATGTTTTTCCACAGATTCTTAGTATACTCGCAATATCAAAATAAATGAGACAAATCTTCAGTTTGGAGACCACAGAAGGAGCAATTTACATCAAAATCCTCAGAAATAAACCTTTGTGAAAAACATTTTGTGGGATAGCACCAATGTATCATTTTATAAGACACTTCTTTTATCTTATTGTACAAAAATTATTTTTGACGCAAAACCCACACTCTAGCCCAGTTAATTTCACCTACATGTCTGTTCCAATAAAAGATGGCATTCGGACAAGAGACAACCTCATTCTGGAACAGAGCACGAATGCTCCTATTATTTGATTTGGTGGTAAGGGATAATTTACCAACATATGTATCAAATACATTGAGATATGGCACAATCTGAGAGACCTTGTTATTAAAACCCTTCATAAACATAATAATCCCAGAAGGGATAGCTCCAAAAACAATAGCATATTCTTTTGCTGTAATTGGGATTTTATAATGTGACAAAAATTCCTCATATTTTAAAGGAATCCCTTGGTCATTGAATAACTGACTCACCAAAATAATATTATTTTTAGCCCAATTATTAAAATAAATTGATTTATTCTTGTACAGCAGATCTCTGTTGTGCCAAATTATATAACTGTGTGGGGAAAAATTATGCTTGTAAATTAAAGACCACGATAAGAGACATTGTTTGTGAAAGTGAGATAATTTGGAAGGAATTTTGTCAGGATTATAATTATATAAGAGCAAAAAATTTAGACTACCTAATTTAGAAAAAATAAAATTTGGTATAAAGTTCCATAAAGAGGTGGGATTTTTTAAATGTTGTTTAATCCAATTTATTTTAAATTTACAATTAAGGGTAGAAAAGCTGATGAAATTAAGTCCACCTTTTTCATAAGAACTCATAACTACAGATTTTCTAATATAATGTTTCTTATTTTTCCATAAGAAATTAAATAAACATTGGTCAGCTGTCTTGGAAGTCTGAGCATCGACACAAAGAGATGTAGCAGAATAAGCTAGACGTGAAAGACCCTCTGCTTTAGAAAGTAAAGTTCTACCCTTGAGAGACAAATCTCTAATACTTACAAGAAGCAAATTTCACAACAAACAGTCATGGCTTCATACCATTTTGTTAATCCACGGTTCAAATTAGTCAGACATCGCCACTGAAGGGGGATACACCTCCCTTCCTTCAATAAAAGCTCGGCCACCCACAAAGTACGCTTTCTTACCAGCCTAATCAATCACGGGCCATAACAGCTGTCTCTTTTCGCGATCAGTTTTACTGATCTCTTTTCGCGAAGCTTGTTTTGTTGCAGAAATGATGATTTTTTGGCTGCTTTCCAAACTGCGTCACGAAGTGCACGAGAGATTAACTTCATGATGATCACTCTGGAATCCTTCTGCTCCTTCCTCTTGGGACCCATGCGATGTACTGCCTCTATGCCATCCACAAGCCTAGATTTCTCCTCTGGTAACAAAGCTTGGCAGATCTTTATGACTTCCCTCCGGACGTCCTCTGCCTCGGTCTCGCGAACTCCATATAATTTGAGGTTCCATCGCCTAGAGTACGCTTCCAAATTATGCACCAAGAGCTTGTAACACTCCAAAGAGAAAGGAAAAATTGAAATCGCATCATATGACCCCTTTAAGACATTGGTAGTAGCAAGAGAGTTAGCGCCTGTGTTCGATCCTTTTCTTTTTTGCTTTAAAGACATGTTTCCACCACAAGTCAACCAAGTATCATATAAACAACTAACTTAAGTTGAACGACAGAAAACTGAGTCTTTATAAAGAACAAATAACTACTTTTTCACGGTCAAAATAAAAGTTGGCAAAGCAGGGCTAATTAAAGCACGTCTTCTCTCTGCCCCAGAGCAAATCCTAACAGTCCTTATAGAGAATGAGGAGTTACGTCACGATCTTTTCACTCCGCATTGCATTTCGGGAAGGCGCCGCCATATTAGCAGGATACGCTATCCGTTCCCATGGTTACTTCTCATTCTCTATAAGGATAAATGCTTATCTTTTGTTTTGTTTTTGCCTTTAAGTTAAACAACCATTCATTCTTCATTGTATCGTTTGCAGGGAAGAGAAGCTATTTTATCGCACTGCATGATATGCACTGCATTTCTCTCTTAAGTTTTGTAGAATCTGGTTTACAGTGTCTAAATTACCCGATTAGCTTGAATACAGTGTCGCTCGCTGCTGCTT